CGTTAAAAAAAAACGCTGCTCATTTGTATTATATTCACTTACATCGTCTCCGTCGGTCTGAAAGAAAAATGCACAAACAAGAACCAAGGCAGCGACGAGTCTCTGCTCGGACCTCCTCGCATAACCTCAGCTTCAAAACATTTGCAGACACGTGAGCGCCTGTCTCGAGCACCCACGAGTTCAATGTAATTGGTACCGTACATCACCACGACCACTACAAGACCCGTCTCAGCTTCAGACCCCTCCACCTGCTCAGCCCATCGCGCTAATCGGGCTGCTGAACACTCTGCAAAACGATGTTGGCTCAAAACTTTGCCTGAACCTCAGCTTAGCCAGGCCTCCTGGCAACAGCTTGCCCCAAGTTTCGTCTGGAAGTCCTGGTAAAACTGACCAGCAATATAAAGCGAGATAAACTGTTTCTTGGTATCTGCAAACATGGCCGAGCGCGTCAACATGCGTCAACTCTGTTATGATGTGCCGGTGGCAGTCCTGGCAGATTCTCTCCAAGTCAGCCTCCATGTCAGCATGTCTCTTTGCCTTTCAGCAGCTCGGAACGCAAGACGGGGCTAGCTGCGGCAACGGTAGAAAGCGTGTTGTTGTGAAGCGAAGTACACGCGGAAGTACACGGAACAGCGAACTGGAATTCAGAGAGTCTTGCCCCCAACTTATCCGGCCATGAAACAGTGATTGAATGTGCACTGCAGCTTCCTGAGTATCGCAACTCTGAACGTTCAAACATGTCCTGACCAAGTTCATGGACTGCTGAGTGACGCACGATGCTTTCAAGGTTTCGCATCTCCTGCCCCAGCATGTCCTGGCGAACTTTTAAACGCCAAGCCTCACATGCAATGAGCGCTGGACTGACCCTGCTGCAAGCAGCCAGCAAGCCGACCCAGCATCGCTCACTTAGCCTCTGTGTTTGAATGATGTGCCGTAGATTTCTTCATTGTTGTGCAGACCCACACCGAGGCATGGGACAAAACCTGGCCAAGACCCAGCTCGGCGGCATTCGGCAGCATGTGTCAACTTCTTAAATCTGGGGAAGGGTGCTGATGTGTTGCGCTTGGGGCTTGGCCACTATTTACAAATTTGTCAGAGTGTCACGAAGGCAGATCACAAGGCTGCGCTAGCTCTTGCATCTCTTGCACACGGCTCAAGCAAACACTTTGGAGCGCCCAAGAAGCTGCTCGGAAAATGTACCGGATGGTACCGGTTCAGCAAGCTAGCACTTTGACTGTGCCATGATTCTAGGCTGCAGCTTCCGCCAAGGGCTCACGGGATTCTCTGATTGGCTTAGTCCGGCTAGCGGGCATGTCTGCACTGATCGCAGGCCATCCCGGCCCAAACCATCCCCGTAGCCAGAAATAAACCACAGCAGCAGTGCCCCAGCCCAAGCCCAACACAACGCCTGCATCTACGGCCTCGCGCCAAGGGTAGGGCAGGTGTGGCACTGACAACGCCAGACCAGGGATCAGAATCACAATGAGCAGCCAGCTTTTGATCATCCTTCGAGGCGTAGCAGAAACGAGTCCAGCGACAAAGAAAGGCGCCAAGATCTTCTCCCACACAGGGGAGTCTTCCCGGAGTTCACGTGCTCTGCGGATGAGCATTGGCGAGAAGCTCATCTGGAAGGCACGGACCCCCTCCACCAGCCAAAGGGAAACTGCAATGGCCACCTCGGCTGCTGAGCAGTCAGTTGGCGGCTGCCATCAATCTTCCAACTTGTCCTAACTTCCAGCTCTGCAGTGTGAAGCTTCTCTGGTGCAGCAATGGCAATTGATTAGCTTCTGGGACAGGCTAGCGATATTGTTCCAAATTTCGCAAAAAGACCATGAAAAGCAAAAAAAGCTGAGCCTTGCAAGTAAAGATGAAAGCCTGCAGTCCAAACTGAGGCCAGCGCATAGCCAGCCCACTGCAAGCCCGTCAGATCCATCCGCTGAAAGGGCTGCAGACTGCGCTCGAGCTCCACGGCTATGCAGTCCACGAAGATGTACACCCAAAGGCCCACGCCTCATCTCTCATCACAAGATGCAATATCGTGCTTCGTGCTGTGTCTGTGTCTATGGTTCTTCCACTTCCTCAGACCCCACAACCCCACAGCTCCACAATCCCACAGCTCCAAAAAAAAGGATAACAAATAGGACAAGATGCCCCAAAATTGTGACAGGAGGGCGCAGCCGCAGCCTCCTTGCTGCTGCTCGGTCATGGCCAGCACACGAGGCAGTTCAAAAGACTTCAGATTTAATGAAAGCCTCTGGCCGGCATGCCTACTCGTATCTGCGTAGGTAATGCTGGCAGGACACAGATTGCGCGGTTCACTCAGCTTCAAATCGCTGCGCAGGCGGGCTCTATCACCTAGCTTTTCAAAATGCTTAATGCAAGCAGAGCAGTCTTCAAGTTTGCCTTGCTATTCAAAGGTTCCTCGCTAAGTGTCCGAGGCGCAACACCCGCGCTTGGCGGTGGCCCAATCCAAAGCTTGCTTAATTCCTCTCTGAAGCCTTCTACCTCTGATTGACTTTCCAACGCTTCTGTCGCGCTATGCTCAGCTCCAGCAATCCGTTTCTGTTACCTCTGTTAGCTCCTGGACGCAAGCAACTGCAAGCACTGACAAAGTTTCTATGGCTTACAGTCAGCAGCGGTGTCCAAACGTGTACAAGAAAGGGGTCGGATTTAGCACTTCGCAATTCCGCTCTCAGAGCAGGGGCACCTCCACCAGCTCCCGGCACTGCTGCTCCAGCGGCCTTTGTGGCAAGCCCTTTTGGAGTCACGTTCAAGCCTCCTGTCAGGACCCTGAAGAAACCACTGGAACCATCCCTGCATCAAAACAACAATACCCAACCTTCACTCACCACTGCCAGGTAAGTCCAACACTTTGTACTTTCGTGACTGGCATGCCTTGCCGGGACTCCATCACCTTCCAAGCAGCTGTCGAGATCTCATCGCAGGGGTGCGAACAGGCACACAAACTTCACTAGTATGCAGGGGCATTCCCATGCCTGTCCGCATGCTGCAACCTGCATTAACCTGTGGCCTGCTGGCAAAAAAAATGGATGCAACCGAAATGCAGAAGCTGCGCAGAATGGTATGGGAATCTTGTAAGGCGCACAGCAATGGTCATGATTGGTCTTCCAGTCTCACGCACAAGAGGTTCTGCATCTTACCAGAGTATCGTGCCTGCCGCCGATGACTTTGACAGCGGCACGTCTAGCCTCAGATTTACAGCTTGCAGACACTGCGCTCTTACACGCAGTAGGAGTGCACAAGCAGAGCTGACATGAATCGCAGCATGGAAAATCTTCAACGGAGGGAGATCAAATGTCAACATAGCACATCCTTCGAATGTCGTGGACAAGAGCTTGAAAGGGAAATGACCTTCAGCGGCCTTGTTCAGTTACAAATGCCAGTGCTCTTCTATACGGCCCATCAACATGCCCATCCAACATGCGGGACTTTTTCCTTTAGAGCTTGCGCTCTTGAGCTTAACCTGCTAATTCTGAGGGTGTGCTCAGCAGCGCTCATCAATCCAGCCCTGCAAACAGAAGCGCACATTCTAGCTGGCTGTTGCACCCAACCTAGCTGCAGATGCTCCGCAGGCTTTGCATTTGCTAGCATGCTTGCCAACTGCACATGACTGGCCAGGAGTGCCAAAGACACTATGCACATGCCATATGAGATGTGATTATTCTCCATGTTAAGCGCTGCAAAGTTTTAGAGAGAGCACTACCAAACTGCAACTTGGGGAGGCGGAATCACTCTGGTGGCAGGACGGTCCAGTTCAGGTATCCCTGCAAGCCTGCAGCAACAAGCCTCCAACATGCCAATTCGCGCAGCCTGAGCGTGATGCGTGATGCTGCAGCGTTGCATGCTTGAACAACGCATGCCATTGAAGCTAGTCTGCACGGCAAGCTTGTGGAAAGACTCAGGACGGGCACGAGATCGGCATGTTCCTGCTCAGCCTGCATGGGCTAATCTGAAGCTAAGCGTGCCATCAGAAATGTCTGCCACCAATGAGCCCTGCGAAACTCCGCGGCTGTACGGCGGGACAGAGCTGTCCTCAGGGCTTAGCCGGGCTCAGCTGTCAGCACGAAGCATCCCAGGAAAAGAAAGCCCTCTACCGATTGAAGAGGCCAAGCGATTAAGCGCCTAACAACTTCTGATCCATTCCGGATGCTATGGCTGCCTCACACGCACAGTCAACAGCGACTCCGGCAGACTACCAAATCAAGCAAACTATGCGGCATTAGGGATTTGATGAGGTGCTGTTCGAGTGCAGACCCCGCCTGACTGCTGATCCAGCACGCGTATCGAGCAAGAGTTTCGTCTACCATCTCAGTATGCCAAATTATCTCATAATCCCTCAAGAGATAACAGCAAATCTATGCAGCACCATCTTTACTACCTCATGCTATCTTGATTGCCGCATGCTACGGGGTCAACGGTACAAGACTTGCATTTGTGATTTGACTCAAACCCGAAATCACTTGAGCCAACTTCAGCCAGTCTGAGCACGCCCTAGTTGATGTGACACAGATGAAGGGTAAGCTGAAGATGTAATTTATCCAGAAGACCTGCAGGATCCAAAGCTTTAAACAACAATGCTGCCAGCACCGACATGGTAACTGGACATTGCACAAAATTTCTACAGGAAAAGAACCCAAAAGATCTTGAGCAGAGACAAGGTGTTTCAGCAACCAGTACGACGGCGGTCTATGACCGCTGTCCAACTCGGCTCCTAGATCCCGTGAAAGTGCCTCCAAACGGGCTGATGATACAGAACACGAGCGCAAAAACAATTCGCTGGCAGGCCGCTATTGCTTTGTTACCCAAGCTGATTTAGCGCTTGCATGAAATTGACAACGAACTAAACTCAAGCGGATTCTCTGATTAAAATTTGACCGACTGCTGTCCCAGATCCAAGACCTTCCATTATGCTCTTCCATTTTTTGACTTGCAAAGCTCTCAGCATGGCGACAAAGTCCCTGCAGGGATTGGCGGATCCGCATGCCACTTGCCTCCGGTTCCTGCACGAAACGAATGGATAGCAAGAACCGAACCGGCAAGCCACCTGGAATCGGAAATCAATCACCGCATGCAGGCATAATCCCTGGATCCTGGCGAGGAAATGGAACCCCAAACGTCCCAGTCTCCACTGTGGACATAGGACCAGATGGTTTTCCTGAAGCGATGCGCTCGGGGATCTCAGGAACTAGCCACAACGTCTTGCATCATTCTGTTTACTCCCATCCATGTTTTAGCAGCTCACTTGGGTCCATGAGCAATTCCGCACTGGGCTGACTCGGCGATCCAGCAATTCTCAGTTCTGAGGGGGGGTTGGAGCCTTCGCTAAGTTCCAGTTTCAGTTCGTAACACGGTGCTGCATTGCAGCTCGAGACTGCTGCCAACAAGCGTCACCGCCCCAGCGCTGCCGATCCTAATCTCGTTCGGCTTGCCGTAGCCCGCCATGGTGCAAACCCGCAACATGATGTCTTCCTGATGCTGCCCATCAACAGCGAGACATGCAAGTGACAAGCGCGTGACAGCACAGGCTTCGCAAGCTTTCTTGGACAAGCTTCCGGCTTCCATGGTGTAGACTGGTCCTCACGTCACAAACACAGCATACATGTCTGTCGCTTGGGAAGGCACGAAAGCTGGCACAAAGGCTGGCCAAAATGTCCTTCAACTTCACCGTGTATGTGCCAAATGGGCTAAACGCTGTTCCGAGGGTACCTCGTACAGCCTCAGGTTGATCAGGCTGCAAACTCTTGAATTTGTGAGGAGCAGCAACCACAACACGGTGCGGTATTTCACCACGCGGCAGTTCATGAACAAAAGCAAGTGAGACGAAACCTTTGAGCCATGAGCCGTATGTTGTGTCCGTGAACGTTCCAGCAGGGAAGAGGGGTAAGGCGTGAATGCCAAGACACCAACACGTACTCTGGCCACTTGTGCGAGGCCAGGAAGTACAGCGCCCTTCCTTTGAATAGGCCTGTGCAACTTGAGGGTCTTCACACTGCTATACCCAGCACAGAAAGTGACATGCGAAAAAAAAAAAAAAAAAAAAAAAAAAAAAAAAAAAAA